TGGGTTTGCACTGGTCCTCCTCCTCCCTTCCCCCTACCCCTCCTTGCTGCTCTTTTCCTCCTCCATCTCCCTCCCCTAAAAGTTCTATTTGCTGGACTACTAGATGTTTACGTGGGCTGGGCTGGGCGTTTGGCTTGAGAAGTCCCCACAATCTATAGAGCTTTCAACAGTAGCTGGGATGGAGGGCTGGTCGTTTTCAACGTGTTAGCTTTTCCCGTAGCGCCGCGCACATTCGTCTCAAAGATCTAATATCTATCGGCCTGTTGAAACAAGATGGAGGGCTGGTTATTTTCACGATGTGGCTCTCGCTTCAGCGCCGTGCACACTCGTTTGAATTTTTCGGGCAATTACAGCTACACGGATGGAAGCCGGTACGTTTTCAAAATGTGGTTCTCGCCCGAGACGTCTTGTGCAATTGTTGCACGGATGGAGGGCAGTTCCTTTCAAAATGAGGCTCTCGCCTGGGACACTTCGTAAGACTCGTTGGCTTATGCCGCACTGCCGATCCCTGGGGAACCCAGTGTGCCTCTCTTCGGGGGGGCGTTGTCGTAGAAGCGTCTTCCCGCCGCGGGCCCATGTTGGAAACTCACAAGCGTGCTCATGGTAGCCTGAGCGGGCGCTCGACGGAGGCTGAAGACCCAGGCTCGACGCCCATCCAGGCAGCCGGCAAGATGGGCGCCTGAGTGGGGGCTACGAGGCAGAGGTGGTATAAGGGGCCCTGGTGCAAGGTCGGGGTCGGCATCGTCCCCAACGGGTCGTCTCCCCCTCCGCCGCCTCCTCCTCCGTCTCCTTTTCCTCGTCGTCGTCGTCGTCGTCGTCCTCCTCCTCCTCTTACTCTGGGATCCGACTTTTCAAAACACTCAGTTATCAGCTCGCCCAGTCACGACCGAGACCGCGGGCTTCGTCTCTCCGCGGCATCTCCGGGAGCTGGATCGATCTGTGAGGGTCCTGGGGCCCGAGACCGTGCGCAACAGCGCGCGGTGCTGAAAAAGAGCGACGCCAGGATCTTAGGGTCCTCCGCCTACGCTTCACCTCTGGGGGTGCTGCGCAGACGCCCCCCCCAGGCGAAGGCGCCTACGCCTGGCCGGACGGCCGGGAGTACGAGGGGCAGTACGTGGACGACCGCAAGTCTGGGTTCGGGCGGTTCCGGTGGCCCGAGGGCAGGAGGTGCCCTCGCCGTCAGGGGAGGAGGAGCAGGAGGAGGAGGATTCGGAGGAGGAGGAGGAGGTTGAGGAGGAGGAGGAGGAGGAGGAGGAGGAGGTTGAGGAGGAGGAGGAGGAGGCGGAGGAGGAGGAGGAGGAGGAGGAGGAGGAGGAGGAGGAGGAGGAGGAGGAGGAGGAGGAGGAGGAGGAGTGGCGCGCGCCCGCTCTGCCGGAGGGCACGCGAAGCCACCTCTGCATCAGGGTCTTCACTGGCCCTCGGCGGCCCCTCGCGGCCCTCGGTGGCTCTCGGCGGCCCTCGGTGGCTCTCGGCGATCCTCGGTGGCCCTCGGCGGCCCTCGGCGGCCCTCCGCGGCCCTCGGCTGCCTTTGGCGGCCCTCGGCGGCCCTCGGCTGCCCTTGGCGGTCCTAGGCGGCCCTCGGCAGCCCTTGGCGGCCTCTGGCTATTTTCTCCGATGTGGGCCCCCGGCGGGCCCTCAGCGGCCCCAGGTACGAGGGGTACTGGCTGAACGGCAAGCAGCACGGGCTGGGCCGGTATCGCAGACGCCTCGCGGCACGTGGCCGGCTCCTCCGGCCCGTCGTCGTCGCCCTCGCCCTCGACCTCGCCGTCGCCGTCGCCGTCGCCGTCGCCGTCGCCGCCGTCGTCGCCGCCGCCGCCGTCGTTTTCGTCGTCGTCGTCGTCGTCGTCGTCGTCGTCGTCGTCGTCGTCGTCGTCGTCGTCATTGTTGTCGTCGCCGTCTTGGAGGGCGCCAGCTACAAACCTGCACCGATCCTGGCCAGGCTGGTCCTGTGCCCAGCATTCGTGTATGCGCCTTCCTATGCGCCCTCCTGCCTCGGCCGCGACCCGGACAGGTCTGGTCGACTGGCTGCCCCCGTACGGGGGCCCACCGCAGCGGCCTACGGCGCGAGCTGCGTGCGGGTGTTGGGTGGGGTCCAGAGGTCCAGCGCCCGAGGCGACTGCCATGGCAGGGCCGGTGGATTTCTGCATCGACGGCTCATCCTTTCAGTCCCTCTGGGCGCAGGGAACCATCGTAGATGAGGACCGGGAAAAAGCAACTTCTGATGAGTGCTGCAGTGAAGGAACAAGTATTCGAGTTTGGGGTTTGAAGCCGATCGTCGGAAGAGCAGCGCGAAAAGAGCGGAATTGGACAGACGCAGCAGCAGCACCACCTTGTGGTCACGCCCATTGTTCAAGATCACGCCACCAACAAGCTTCCCCATGCCCTTGACACCACCGTACACCTGCCAGCACGTCCCACGGTTCTGCGGACACCCAGATACACTGCTAGAGCCAAGCGGTCTTCGAAGCCACGATATAGATGAACTCATTGCATCCGATGCTGCTGCTGCTGCTGCTTATCTGTGAGGACAACATTGATGGAGCTGCGAGCACGCCACGCAGTATGGACAGGGGGAGGAGCGGTCGCGAAACCCGCAGGACCGCCTGTGAGACGCTGCTGCTGGACTTTCACCCGATGTCCTTGCGCTGACACGCCCGCCCTCGCGGACCGGTGCGCCCGGGGGCGAGTCCCGCACACGCAGCGGGCTCGCGTGCGTAATTCGGACGTTCTCGGCTGCAGCGGCAGCGGCACGGCCTGCGTCGCAGGCGCCCGCTCTCGAAATGCGTCGGCCGGATGCTGTGTTGTGCCTCCTTGGCGCTCACGTCGGGTGTGATGAGATCTGACGCCGCCCGCGCTTGGCTCTTGGCAGGTCGCGTCGCACAATGGATTTCGCTCGAAGTTCAGCGCGTTGGAGACGTCAGCGGTCTAAGTCACGGTTCTGAGTGCGCCGCTCGACGTTTGCGGCGCTGTACTTACCAGTCTCATCATTTCCGTGTAGAACGAGCATGCGGATCTGTACCAGACCAGCGGGGGGTCCGACCTTGAGATTTGTGTATGTGTTCTGCAGCTCGCATGTGGCGTTTGTTCGCAGGCTCAGACATTCGATGCCGTGTTGTTGCAACACGTGGTCCCCGGGATTCCCGACCTTCTCCCAGGGGCAAGTTTGTGAGATCGAGCAGTTCCCAACCTTCCTGTGTAGGGTTCTCGGTTTGAATAGAGCGCTGCTTTCTCCAACCTCTCTGCCTCACCCTCCTTTCCCTCCTCCTCTTCCTCCGTGATTCCCTCTTCCTACCTCCTCCACTGTACCTTCTCTACTGGGGGGTTGCCAACCGCGCATCTGTCGCCGCTTTCGTGGGCTGCTCGGAGGTCCAGTGGAGTGTTGTCATCCGCAGATGAGAGCGGGACCTCGCCCTCTGTCGGGTCTGCGAACTGCGTGACTATCGCCGCTGGAATGAGCCTCTGGGAGGTCCAGGCGAGTGGTGCCACCCGCAAAAATCAGAACAGAGGCCTCGCCCTCTCTCTCGGGGCCGCGAATTGCGCAGCTGTCGTCGCTTTCGTGGGCTTCTGGTGGTCCAGCGGAGTGGTATCGTGTGGAGTGTCATCAGACGCACATCAGAGCGGTACCTCGCCCCTCCCTCGGGGCCGAGAATCGCGCAATGGCCGCTGCTTTAGTGGGTTCCTGGCGGGTGCAGCGGAGTGCCGTCTTTCACAGATCAGGACGCGACCTCGCTGTTGCCGCGGAGCTGCGATCCGCGCAACTGTCGCATCTGTTGTGGGCTCCTGGGAGGGCTAGCGGAGCGGTCTCTTTGGCAGATCAGGACGAGACCTCGCCTTTCCTCGGGTTTGCGAACTGCGCAATTGTCGCCACTTTGTGGGCGCCTGGGAGGTCCAGCAGAGTGGTGTCTTACGCAGGTCAGAACAGAACGAGACCTTGCTGCTCCCTCGGGGCTGCGAACTTCGCGTGTGTCGCTACTGTCGTGATCTCCTGGGCGGTCCAGCGGGGTGGCGGTGTGATGCGGAGATCAGGACGAGAGCTCGCCTTCCCTGGGGCTGCGAACTGCGCAGCTGGCGCCGTTTCCGTGGCCTCCTGGGAGGTCCAGCGGAGTGGTGTCTTAAGCAGGATCGAACTAAACCGCGCCCTCCCTCGGGGCTGCAGACCGCGCAACCGTTGCCGCTTACGTTGGCTCTTGGGTTGTCTAGCGAAGTGGCGCCATACGCAAGTCCGAAGGAGACCTCGTCCTTCCTCGGCGCTGCGAATCGCGCAACCGTTGTCGCTTTCGTGGGCGCTTGTTAGGTCCAGCGCAGCGGCTTTACGCACATCAGAGCCGGACCCTGTCTTCCCTGGTGTGTGTGTGATATGAACAACAGCCGCCCTTTTTTTGGCGGGCTCCTGGGAGTTCCAGCGGAGCGGTGTCTCACGCGTCCAGACTGGACCTTGCGTCCCCCTGGGGCGCTGTCACCTGCACAGCTGTCGCCATTTGCTTCTGGTTCTTCCGTGTGTGCTTTTGTGTTGAGCGGTTAGTGATATGTGTATATGTGTATATATATATATATATATATATATATATGTATGTATGTATTGTGCGTACCGTGTGCAGGAAGGGTCTGGTACGTCTCTGGGCCCCGGGGCCGAAGAAATCGGTTTTCGGGGGGCCGCCAAGAGCGAAAGACCACCGCCCTGTTTTTTGTTCTGTTGCTCGCGACGCCGCACGTCTTTGGGGGGGGGGGCGGGGGTGCGTGCTCCAGCGCCGGGAGGGCACGTCGACCCCCGGGCCAGGTCCTGGCCCGCGGAGGCACGTATGGGTCGCCAGGCGAAGTCACGACCGTGATGTCAGGGCCGCTTTGGGCTTGGGAGGGGCCCTGGCTCCTCCTCCTCCTCCTCCTCCTCCGCCTCCTCCTCCTGCTCCTCCTCCTCCTCCTGCTCCTCCTGCTCCTCCTCATCCTCCTGCTCCTCCTCATCTTCCTCCTGCTCCTGCTCCTTCTCCTGCTTCTGCTCCTCCTGCTCCTCCTCCTGCTCCTCCTCCTCGTTCCTCCTCTGAAGCAGGTCGGGAAACACCAGCTCGTGCCCGAGGCTCGCGTTCGCCCCAGATCGAGGAATTCCAGGAAAGTCCCTTCGCTCCTCACTTGGAGTTCCTTATGCCAGGGATCCACAGAAGAATGTGTGTTAGACCACTGTGCGTTTACCCGGTTCAGCTCCCCCGATCGTATGCAGCCTTTGCCGGCCCTAAGTACACCGCCTGCGTCGTATCGAAGGGCTTCGGTGGCGAATCGCATGTTGGCGCTAATTCGCACGCGTCCTGAGTATCATCGACTTTTGGTAGCACGACGTCTGTACGTCGACCCCCCAGGCAAGGTCCTGGCTCAGCGGCCTTGCGCTCATTGAGGGCAAATCCTTATCACTAAAGGCATACATATTTCACCGAAGGTCAACTTCTTAACTGAAGGCGACGGTTTTCACTGAAGTTTTTTTTTTCGGCCTGCAGTGAACCGTTGGTGCAGTCAGTGAAGGCACACTTTTGCCCACCGAGTGCAGATCTGTTGCCCACTGAATGCAAAGAGGGCGCTAACGTCAACACGACGTGTGCCTCGCTGCGGCACGTGCGCGACTCAGAAACACAGGCTCGTCTTCACCGACGTTGGCGCGCAGGCTGCCCGCGTGAGGTCGCGCGTGGGCGCCGTTGTCTCCACGCGGTGTGCCGCGCTGGCGGCCCGCGCGAGCCGCGGTGTAATGTCTTCTCGCCTGAGACCCGTTTCTTTTCGTCGCTCCCGCCTGGAGCGGCAGACGTCGACGGCCACGACGGCGGCGGCGGCGGCCCGCGTGAGCCGCGGTGCAACGTCTCCTCGCGTAAGGCCCGGTTCCTTTCGTCGCTCACGCCTGGAGCGGCAGGCGGTGGCCTCGTCGCGGCGCCGCCCGCAGGGCCCGCGGGGCCCCCAGCCCAGGGCCGTGGGGCCGCGGCGCCCATGTCCGCCTCCCCTCCAGGGCCGGCTCCCCGCCACAGCCGCCGCCGCCGCCGTCGCTGTGGCCGTCGCCGTCGCCGTCGCCGTCGCCGTCGCCGTCGCCGTGGTGGTGGTGGTGGTGGTGGTCGTCGTCGTCGTCGTCGTCGTCGTCGTGGTCGTGGTCGCCGTCGTCGTTCAAAAACCTTCCGTGTTCCTCACATCCTCCTGCTCCCCTCACAGCCTCCTCCTTTCCTCCTCTTCCTCCTCCTCCTCCTCCTCCTACTCCTCCTGTTTCCCCGCTGTCCTTCGGCTTCTGCTCGCTGGCTCCTCTTTCCTCTCCCGTTCGCTCCTGCCCAGTTCCACTTGCTCCTTCGCCCTCCACAATCACACAATATGAATACTACTCTCCTCTCTCCCCTGACTCTGTCTGGAGAGGGTCCCGTCCTCCCCGCATTTTTTTTTTTTTTTTTTTTTTTTTTTTTATACAGCATTTCCGTGATTGGTTTTCTGGAGTGTTTTTTTTTGCAATCCGGTCATTCCCAGTTCTTCCAAAATGGTCCTCCCGCTGCAGCGCCGCCCTCATTTCCGCGCTTCGGTCATTCAGAATCGTGCTCCCGCGGCAACGCTGGCCTCGTTCCCGCGCCTCTGTTTGTTCCGAATCGTGTTCCCGCAGCAGCACTGGCCACTGGCGTGTGCGGACTTTCCAAGTCGCGCTGTCGCTCTGGCGCTGGCCTCGTTCCAGTGCTTCGGTCCTTCCAGATCGTGCTCCCGCTGCAGCGGTGGCCTCATTCCCGTTTTCGGTCCTGGCCTCGTTCCCGCGCTCCAGTCCTTCCAAATCGTGCTCCCGCCGCAGCGCTGGTCTCGTTTCCGTCGGTCCTGGCCTCCGTCGATCCCGTGCCACGGCATGCAATGCGATGCTGTGTTGTGCACCGCTGTGCGATGCCATGCGTTGCGTTGCTCTGCTTTGTGATGCAATGCTTCACCACGCAATGCCACGCCATGCTATGACATGCTGTGCTCTGCCGTGCCTTTCTACGCCATGCTTTTACATCCATCGCGTACGCTCTTGGGATCATTGCCCTGCTCGACATCCGTCTGCGCGAATAGACGGGAGATCTACGCCATGGTAAGGGATGGGAGGGAGGGGTCGGGCGTCAGGTGTGACGCTAGCGCACCTAGCTTGCCTTCCCCCCCTCCCCCTCCCCCTCTCCTCCTCCTGCCCCTCCCCTTTAACCTCGTTGTCCTTATTCTCGTCTCCCCTCTCCTCTTCCTCCCCTGCTCCCCCTTCTGACCCTCTCCCTTTCAGCTCCTCCTCCTCCTCCATTCCTCCTTCGTCTTCCTCCTCTTCCTCCCACGCCCTCCTCCCGCTCTTCCACCGTCTTCGCCGTCCTTCCTCCTCTTTTTGCTTCCTCTCTTGCTCCTTTTCGTCTTCCTCCTTCCTTCCTCCTCTTCTTCTCCTCGGAAGAAGTAGAAAGGGTGGACAGGTATGGAAGAGGATGGAGGTTGGAGGGAGAAGGAGGGAGGAAATCTGAGGGGACGAGGGAGGGAGGAAGGATGGGAAGGAGGCAGGGAGGAAGGATGAGGAAGCAAACAGAGCGGACATAGGGAGACAGGGGTGAAGGGTGAGGGTGTGAGCGAGGAGGGGGGACGGAAGGGGGAGAGAGGGGCAGAG